AGGGAGATTGGCCTATAGTTCTCTTTTTGGGTTGGGTCTTTCCCTGGTTTGGGAATCAAAGTAACACTTGCTTCCAGGAATGAATTTGGAAGCCTTGCTTCCCTTTCAATTTCTTTGATGAGTTTAAAGAGTAATGGCGATAGTTCTTCTTTAAATGTCTTGTAGAATTCAGCAGTGAAACCATCAGAACCTGGGCTTTTCTTTGTTGTTAAATTTTTTATTACATTTTTAATTTGACTCATTGTAGTTGGGGTGTTTAGAATTTCTGTATCTTCTTCATTTAACTTTGGCAATTCATATGTATCTTTTTCTAGCGTTTTTTTAAAAAACTTGTGTTTAAATATTCATTCTGTCTTCTACAAACTCATCTCCAGCCCCTTACCCCTACACTACAATGCTAAATTATGGTGCTGGGTGCAGCAAGCTACCCCTTGGTAGCCCTCTTGTTTTATTGGGAAACTGACTTAAGCTATTAAATATGTAGTCTTCTTACTGAGTTCCACTTTGAGCTCAAAAGAACTGTGTGCCAGATGGGAATGAGATGTTCTGTGAGTGTGGCTCAGTGGCAGAGTGGTTGGCTAACATGTAAGACCGTGTTTGATACCTATCCTCGAAAGAAGGTGAGGGGAAATTGTTCTGTGGTGGCTTTTAAATAGTTTAAATATTTAGATGCATCAAAAAATGGATCTTCGGGTCAGGGATTTAGCTCAGTGGTTCTGCCACCCGCCTCATAAGCGCTAGGTCCCGAGTTCGATCCCTGGTACAAAAAAAAAAAATGTATCTTCATTCTGTTTTCTAGAATTTGATTTCTTGCCATTAATCTCTCCTGTTTTTGTTTTTTTTTTACCGGAGATTGAACTCAGGACCTTGCACTTACAAGGCTGGCGTCATCACCACTGAGCTAAATTCCCAGTCCTAATCTATCCTGTTCTTAAGAATATGAGCAAGTTCTCTAGCTTCCTTGATGACTATTGAAGAGCTTTAACCTGTTAACTAACCTATACCCTCTTGTAGAGGTTAGCCTTGCTTTTGTTTTGTTTTTCCCATCATTATATTTTTATTTACTTTTGATAATCAATTTCTGGATAACCTAAGCTATTGAGTACATTACAGAGTAGGACAAGGAAAAACAAAGCTCAAGAAATTAGAATCTGAGCCTAAACATCTTTCCTGCCTGGAGTTTTCCAACCCCATCTCTGTAGACCCAAGTACAATCTTCGGGCTGCCCTGATTCTCTGATGTCAGCAAACTCTTGTAGACACACATTTGTCTTTTGTTCACAGGTATTGACTTGGAGAACATCGTTTACTACAAAGATGACACGCACTATTTCGTTATGACAGCCAAAAAGCAGAGTTTACTGGACAAAGGCGTGATATTGCATGTGAGCAATGGATTTCTTTTAAGCTACTTATTTGTTGAACTGGTTAATGTGATCACCAAGAAAAAAGTTTTATTATCTGATGGGTTTTTCCTGGAAGGAAATGAAAATGAGCACTGAACACAGCTGGAAACTGCTGATTTTATTTAGTATAAGTTTGTAAAATTTTTATTATGTTTGAAAAGTATTGCAAATATAAAAAGAAGTAGAAAGAAGTCTAATGAACTTTTTTTTTTTTTTTTTTGGCCGGGGATCGAACTTGGGACCTTGCGCTTGCGAGGCAGGCGGCGAAACCACTGAGCTAAATCTCCAGCCCATTCTAATGAACTTTTGTGCCCATCATCCAGCTTTAACAGTTTTCAACATGGCCAATATTGTTTCAGTGAAACCCCAACCCACTCCCCTCTCCTACCATTGGATTGTTTCAAAGCAAGACTCGGATATTTCATATATAAATATTCAGTTTAATTTTGGGTGACTTGGTTTGTGGGTGAATTTCATACGTGACCAATTACTAATTGGTGAGTAGAGCCTCTTTATTGGGCATGATAGAAGGAAGAGAATTTGAACAAGAAGCAACACTTGCTTTTTACAGCAGCCTGACAGTGGCTCTAGTTTAACTGTGGATTTTGTTGTCAGAGGTCCAGAGGTCTTTCTGACTCAACTACAAGGGCCTTGTGTTCATCGTTAGCCATTTTTGGGTGATTAGTTGTATGATATACTCTGGGATGGTGATCTGAAGTCAGAGAATCACAGGATGGGTGGCTCCTTCAGGAGAAGGGCTCGAGTTTCATTGGTCTGAATGTGAGAACTTCTGTCCCCATGTGATGAGAAAGAACTATCAGATGTGCTGATTCTCAGGGAGCCCTTTGTTTGCAAGATGATAATGAATCCTCTTTTAGTCTGAGTCCCCTTCGTCCGAGTCACAGTGTTGCCTTATCTGAGAGCAGACTGGGGAGCAAGCTAAAGAGCACGTGCTTGCAACGCAAGTCTCCTTTCCACCCGTGAGCCCTGTGTCTCCCTCAGCATAGAGGTTCTGTATATATGACGGGAGCAACAGGACAAAGCAGTTCATTTAGCCCATTCTTCAAAAACAAAAGCTAGATGCATTTGGCTAGCTGCTTCATAAAGTGGGTTTGTTCATTATCTACTGCTATTCCATTGCTGTCACTAAGATCTAGCCAGGGAAGCACTTGGGATGCCTTATGGCTGAGACTTAAATCTGCCATCTGGGCAGAACTGTGTTTATCTACCAAAATTAGATAAGAGCAATGTAGAATGCCAAATTTTGATTTGCTTTTACTTATAGTTTATTTTTCTAAAGGGCATGGGCAGTGCCTTCTGTGTGTACAGCTAAATTCTAAAACCATTGTGGGCACTTAATGTTGAGCAAACGGTATTTCCAGGACCAACATGAGTGTTTCTGCTTTGGCTTCTGACATCTTGTAGTCATAGCTGAAAGTACCATGAGTAGCACTTGGAACTGCAGGACCCACTTAGGAGAACAAAGACTTAGCTCAGATGCAGAAGCCTCCGAAATAGAAATGGAGTTTTGCAGTCCCTTATGTGGAAAGCTCTGGTTTTTTTTTTTCAAGATAGTGATTCACGGTGTAGGTCAGGCTGGCCTTGATCTTTATATATAGCCTAGGCTGGCCTCAAACTCTTGGCAGTCCTCCTGCCTCAGCCTCCTGAGTGCTAGGATTACAGGCCTGTGCCACTGCCGTTTAGTGGAAGTCCTTTTTCTCTCACCTTTTTTTTTCTTCATTGATGAGTTCTGTCTAGCCTTGCAGAATCTTTTATACGATTTTGAAAACCTTTTCCTTTTTCAATATATTCCTCTGTATCTTCCTTGACTACTGTTAGTCTCATTTCTGTTTCCTTTTGGCACTAGTTTTTAAGTTCTTCCCTGGGGCTTAATGAGCCATCCAAGGCTGCTTTATGTGGTCCCAGCTGCTAAAAGCTACCCACTATCCAAAAGATAATGATTATAGAAGTTAATATGTATAAACTATAAAATGCCCTTTCAGTTTGTAGAGAACCATCACATACCTGATTTTATTTGATATTGGGAACAACTCTGTGAAGGAGATTGATCACGATCAAGTATCAGTGACTTGCTCCAAGTAAATGGAAGGCTAGGACTGACTTTAGGCAGCAAAGCCTGTGTAAAAATAGCCCCAAGTTTTTCTTTTTAATCTGTGTAAAAGATTTGGTTTGTGGAATGAGAAAGCTGTGAAAGTAGGTTACATCTGCCATACATCCTGTGGTCCTGGCTGGCCTCATCAGTCTGTCCCTGCCCGGGCTGTTCCATCCTGTGCATCTTTTCTCTCTGGCCAGGACTACGCAGACACCGAACTCTTGCTTTCCCGGGAGAATGTGGACCAAGAGGCCCTGCTGAACTACGCCCGGGAGGCAGCAGATTTCTCCACTCAGCAGCAGCTTCCCTCTCTGGACTTTGCCATCAATCACTACGGGCAGCCCGATGTGGCCATGTTTGATTTCACATGCATGTACGCCTCTGAGAATGCTGCTTTGGTACGGGAGCAGAACGGGCACCAGTTACTAGTGGCTCTGGTTGGGGACAGCCTCCTAGAGGTGAGTACCAGGGTAGCCGTGCTTAATGGGAGGGATGGTAGTGAGGAACGCATCTGGGTGTCCCCGGTTGTGAAGTGTCTGCAGCCTGAGCAGGCTCCCTTCAAGGGTCCGGCAGCAAGGAGAGGAAGGACACAGGCCCTGGATGCCCAGGCTTGTTGGGAGTGTGGAAATCCCACAACTCTGGTGACTTGCCCTCTCCCAGTGTGTAAAATAGAGAAGCCCAGTATCCAAACAGTAGCCAGATTTGACTGTCAGTAGCAAATTCTTTCTTTGTTCTTTAGCCTCCCTCTTTTAAAAGATGATGATTTTAACTCTGTTTTATGTCTTGTTCATAGCCTTTCTGGCCAATGGGAACAGGAATAGCACGAGGCTTCCTCGCTGCTATGGACTCTGCCTGGATGGTACGAAGTTGGTCTCTGGGAGCCAGCCCCCTGGAAGTCCTGGCAGAGAGGTAATAGGGAGAAAGCACAGGCTCCCATGAGCAGACCAGAAGGACGGGGTGGTGTGCTCCTTGGGTGGCCCAAGTTCCCCCTTCGCTCTTTCTTCCCGTCTTTATAAAGATACTTTAAAAAAGGAAAAGCAAGATATCTTATGAAATCATAGAAGCCTAGATGATCTGCCTGCTCTTCTCTTATTCCTTTCTTTTTTTAATGGTAACAAAGTTTATTTGAAAAAGTAAAAGTGAAGAGTAAGGGAGAATCTGGCTCTGCGTGGGCGTGGGCCAAGCAAAAGAGGAAAAAGGAAGATAAAAGTACACCCTGGGAGGCCAGGGATTTAGCTCAGTGGTGCCTCCGCCTGCCTGGCAAGCGCAAGGTTCAATCCCTGGTGCTAAAAAAAGTACACCCTGGGCATACAAGGTGGGCTATCGTGAGGAAAGCCAGTGGCCTCTTAGCCCTTTTTATTTTTTTTTCCCATGTGCCCTTTCCAAAGGACCTGTTTTATTATGAGGTAAAATTTGGGTCAGTATATTAAACTTTTTGTTACATAAACTTTGTAATTATTTTCACTTTTTTAAAATGTCAAAATTCATGTTATATTCTTTTCAGATTTTGTGATTTAAGGCACACAGAAGGCTTTCTTACAACTGGAATGATCTACTACATTTAGTTATAGCGCTTAAATAAAAGTTTCCATTTTTACCTTATGTCAAATTTTAAACCTTTAGGGATTTAAAAAAAATTTTTTTTTTTGGTACTGGGGATCGAACTCAGGACCTTGTGCTTTCAAGGCAGTCGGAGGCACCACTGAGCTAAATCCCCAGCCCCTGGGATTTAAAATTTTGTTTTAAAATGTACAGACAAGAAGTATCAACAGCTCTTGCACTGAAAATTGCCCATCTCTCTATCCGCTTCTTCATGGAGCAGATGTGCCTGTCTCACACACCTTAGATTCAGGGTGGGAAGATGGGATGCTCAACCAGACATGTCAGATAATGAGAAATGTGAATAAAGATTTGGAGTTTATTCTTCTAGTAGTACTTGGCTTACTAAGGTTACTTCTCAAGCTTACCAACTTTCGATTTGTTTTTATTGCATTTCACATGTTGGATACAATCTTAGCCCTTTTTAATTGGAATTTATGCCAGGCATGGTGGCACACGCCTATAATCCCAGCACTTGAGAGGCTGAGGCAGGAGGATTGCTTCAAGTTTGAGGCCAGCCTGGACCTACATAGTGAGTTCAAAGCCAGCCTGAACTACATAGCAAGACCCTGTCTCAAAAAAGCACAAACAAAACAAAATGGAATATACTAGTGGCAAGTAGCATCTGAATCTTTGTGTTTCATTGAATAGTGATATCTGATTCCTTTATAATTACATGAGAAAATACATGATAACCACCGATCAGATCCTCTTGTCCTTTAGCCAGGAAGACTTAGACTAATGAAGCTAGTGTGGTAGTGTGGACAGGCTAACATAGGAAATTAAAAATGATCGATTCAGGGGAAAACGCCAAACTGCTCGTAAACATTTATCAAATGCTTAAATATCAGATGTTTTGAAATAAAAACCCTCGGATTTCCTTATCAGTAAAGTACTTCACATCTTGACCAAGAGAACTAGAGAGGAAATTTCCCAGATGAAACTGGTAGTTGATATCATTTCAAATCTGTTATTTAAAGTGTTTTGGCTAAATGTAGTAGCAAGTTCTTTTCTCATCTGTGATTTTTTTTCTTAAGAAATTAAATATTGGTATTCTTGAAAAACTGAAAATGCAACTGCTAAATGGTTGCCTTTTCAGTGAAAGCCACCTCAGAGGGAAGGTCTCAAGGATGAAGATTTGTCACATTTGTCAGATAATTTGGTAGACTGTCAAAACAAATCAGAGAGGGAAGCATTTATGGTGCTTGTCATTGCTCTGAGTGTGCTGTGCATATTTTTGCAGGGAAAGCATTTACAGGTTGCTGCCTCAGACCACCCCTGAGAATGTGAGCAAAAATTTCAGCCAATACAGCATCAACCCTATCACAAGGTATCCCAATATTAACGTCAACTTCCTCCGGCCAAGCCAGGTAAGAGCCTACTAGTCAGTTATGTGCATGTGTGTCCATTGTCAGGACTGCTCAGAACTCTGATACATCCAGATCAGAATTAATCTGATCTATTGGAATTAATACCATACACACTTTTAGTAATCCCATGTCCCTTTGCATATATACACTTTCAGAAGTCCAAGTCAGTGTCTCTCTGGTTTGGTAGAAGTGGGTATTATTTTCCATGGAGCAACTGAGGCATAGAGTTGTTGAATGACTTGTAGAAGATCACACACATGCCAAAAACATTGGATCCAGGCCTTCATTTTATGCCTTCTAATTCAAGTCACACATAGTAGAAGAAAAGATACTGGTTCAGTAGCAAGGAGATGTTATTTTTGCTGTTATTGCCACTAATCACCTGTGGCTCAGGTCATTTTACTGTCTCTGAGCCCTAATTTTTCACTGGAGAAATGGAGATAATAATCCTTGCCTACTTGCAGGACCATCACGAGGGTAAATAAGATTGTTCATTTGAAGGAACTTTGAAAGATAAGATACTCTCTACCAGTAAAAGTTGATTTTTTTGTTGTTGTTGTTCCATTGTGTTATTTCTCAGAATCTCTGAAGCCTCATTACACTACTGAGAATGAAATCTTAGAAGAAGAATAATCCCAAAGAGTAGAACAGCTTTTACAAAGCAGCCTATTTGATAAATTTTCCTGTGTTCCAGAGTAATGTTTTATTTGCCTTTTCCCTGAAGTTTATACCTTTTGGCTTCTCTGTATATGTTGGTAAAATCTGCTGTTAATGGGCAGTCTTAATTGTCCAACAGAGACTATCTGGAGGGCCTTCCATGGCTGACTACCTAACTTTTAACACAGCTTTGTGTAGTTAATATGTATTTGTTTCCGTATAACCTACCTTATCCCATAAAGGATTTAACACGGTCATGAAGGGGCTATAATCCATATGTCTTGCTGCTGAGCAGCTGTGATTTGAACATGTTACCTTCTCGCCAGCTTGAATCACTGGTGGTACGTGCCTGACTGTCCCATTAGGTGGCATCAGACAGTCCAGTCCCTTCGCTTGGTACAAACTACCCAGTGGGACAATCATGCATGTACCACCAGTGGTTCAAAGTAGCAGGGACGAATTAAAGGTCATCATTATAACTTCAGTATAAATTTCACCATGGGGCTGGGTGTATAGCTCAGTGGTAGAGAGTGTGCTAAGTTCCTGAGTTTAACACTGCCTCCCACCCAGTACCACAAAAAAAAAAACAGACTTTACTTGCCCTGCTTCCCCAGTCTTTCATCTTAGTCATCCTACTTTTAGCTAAGAATTTGTGCCTTAGTGTTGATTTTTCCATCCTTTCAACTTTCAGGTGCGCCATTTATTTGATACTGGAGAAACAAAGGATATTCATCTGGAAATGGAGAACCTAGTGAATTCCCGAACTACCCCAAAGTTGACCCGCAATGGTGAGTTCTGGTAGTGGCCTTCTGAGAGGCAAGTACCATGTTCAGAGAAGTCTGCACCCATTCCTTGTGCCAGCATACTTGCATACTTGTGTTTAGGCAATGGTTCTGAAGCTGGGGTGGCTGGCCTTCCAGGGGATGTTTGATTGTTCTGGGGAAATTTTTGATTGTCATGACTAGGGGAGATTGCCACTGTCATCTAGTGGATAATCTAGGGATGTTACTAAACCTACTACAATGCACAAAGCAGGGCCGCACAAGAAAAAGTTATCTTGGTTATGAGGATATAGAGATAAGTTGGAGACAGATGCTGGAGACAGAAAAAGAATAAGAGTCTGAGGGCCAGGGATTTAGCTCAGTGGTGCTAGCACCTGCCTTGCAAGCGCAAGGTCCTGAGTTTGATCCCCAGTACCAAAAAAAAAGAATATGAGTATGAGAGCCAGTGCACATGTGCACCCGTGCACACACTTAAGGTTTGGGGCAAGACTTTGTAGAATTTGTGGTATTTATTTGGGTCCTGTAACAATGCCATTATATGGTGGTAAAGGTCAAGGCCATTCCATATTTTGTGGGTATTTAAGTAAGGGCCCCTGAAGATGTTTTTTGAAAGGAGAGTGACACAGTGTACCCGGTTAGCTACATGTGAGATGGACTGGAGAAGGGAAAGGCACCAGAGGAGGGAGACTAGTTAGAAATCCACTGCAGTAGTCAAACTACAGGTGGCAAAGGCCCAATTCTGATACCAAGTTGGTGATAGAGAAAGGAGAAGGCAGTGGATCACAGTTAGAGGGACTCAGACTTGGAGGCCAGATATGACTGGGTCCCAGCCCAAGCTTTGCCATTTGCAAAGTATCTACAAACATCTCTGGATTTCAGTTTCCTTAACTTTGAAATGGGAGTGACAGCACTTCACTCACCCTGTGATCTTGAGGATTCTGTGACATGTATACAGTGCTGATTACATGCCCAGCATCTAATGGTCTGTCATCGACAGCAGCAGTTTTGTCACTGACATTATTAATTATTTGAGAGCAAATATTAAGAAGCCAGAATTGATAGGCATTGGCAGTTGATTGCCTTAGGGGCAAGAGATAGGTATTTGCGGTTGTTGCTGCATCACTCTAAACAAGGAAGTGGGAGGCTCAGAAGGTGTAAGAGAAGGTGTGGGTTCTGTTTGGGACATTTTAAATGTGATGTGCTTTTGGGATGTCGGGGTGAATATGAGCCTCAGCAGGCAGTCGGAAACATTTTCATCTTTCTCCACTAGGGTGTCATTTCCTTAAAAGCAGAGAATATATCTTTATTCACTGTCATTAGTTTAGAGCCTAAAATATTGAAGTGAAGTTGCCCAGTACATACTGGATGGATGGATATACAGACTTGGGAAACAGCTGAAAAAAGTTAGTATCTGAGCCAAGAGGTGGCATCAGGAGTGGTTCTGCCTGTAGTCTCAGCACACATTTCCACAGTGAAAGACTTAAACAGTATTTTTATGATCACAAATCACTGAATGACTTAGTGCAAAGCTAAATATTTTCAGCCGCCTGACGAAGGGAACAGACTTTCTTGGATATAAGCAGGAATTCACAGATTTCTCTTAAATGATCCATATCAGAGCTCTTAGGATGCAAAGCTGTTTGGTTCTAGAAGACTTGTCAATGTCTAAGGATATGTTTTGCCTATTTGGTTTGATATGATCATTTATAATACAGAGTGCCAAACTGGGGCAGGGGAATTTTTCTGGTCTGGGGTTCACAGCCTTGGCAGTGTAACCTGTAGCTTCCTTCACTTGAAAATTGCATGGTGGTTCCCTAGGAAGTGCGAGAGCAAGGCTTTCTTTCCATTCAGTTTAAGATGCTGCTAGATAGAATGGCTGCTAGGTAGAATGGACCCTTTTCTAATCTAATCTTCTTAGTTGCTTTGGAGGAAAAGGCTTCCTCAAGCACTTGCCAAGTGGCTGTCAAGGGAAATTCTAGAGTCTTTATAGTGAGGGTGACAGCTCAGAAGGTGGCACTCCTCCATTTCCACAGCTTCCAGGAGTGGTGCAGGGACACCAGGCTTCAGCACGAGCAAGTGCATGTCATTCAGTTGTGGGACACTCATTTGTTCAGGGGATGGCCCTCGAGTCTGGATAGATTAATACCTAAAATTCCACTATCAGGATACTAGTTACATAACCTTATTCATAACTATTTTATTTTGAAAGCTGGTAATGGCTATTTTGTCCCTACCCTTAGTAATTTTTCAAACTGGTTATGTGTATCACAGAGAGGATCCTATATCAACCTTACCAGGTAAACACACTTTCAATAATAATTTTTTTTGTCGTTTTAGAGTCTGTAGCTCGTTCAAGCAAACTGCTGGGTTGGTGCCAAAGGCAGACAGATGGTTACGCAGGAGTAAATGTGACAGATCTTACCATGTCTTGGAAAAGTGGCCTGGCCCTGTGTGCAATTATCCACAGATACCGCCCTGATCTAATGTAAGTCATGACTAAACTTTGTATTTCATTTCATATCTCCCAGGGACCTCAAAGCACCCTGCTATCAAGTAGTCAAATTTTATACTTATTCTGAGGATAGGGTACATAATAAGATGCTTTCTCCAGAAAGCTGGTATATTGGCTTACTTATATTTAAATTTAAAACTTCATATGTCAACTATTATATGACTCAACTCAGGAATGATTAGCTGAATTTTAAAAAATCACAGCACTCACAGGGTTAAAAATTGGGCCTATTAACTTCACACAAAGGAAAACTCTGTTTATTGGCCCTGAGTTGAACTCTTCATTTTGGCCAGCTGTCTCTCAGATGCTATTGGTGGTCACAAGGGAAACCTGGCTGAAACATTTGGCTAGCTCAAGACAAATATGTCACTACCAACGAAATAAAACAATACTCACCTGATTTATGATTGTTCGCTATTCTTTGTTAAAGACTGCACTTCTTACCAACATACTCCATCAAGTTCGTGAAATTCACATCATCTTACCCACTATACCTGTAACATCTCCTCTTTTGTCTGTTCTTCAGTCACCTGTCTGCAAAATTGGTGCACTAGAATGACCCCAGGTCTGCCACAGTGACCAGTGCACTCAAATTTCCCCTATAGGAAGGAGTTTGTTACTGTGGAAGCCAAACAAAAAGATTCAGGAACAAAAGCGAAGCTATGTCAGATTGCTCTGACTGCCTGTCCTTTTTACCATTGGATCCACTTAAGGGGCCATTTTTTCTGGTTTATTTTGTTTTAATGATAGCTTAAGAAATCCTAAAAGACATAGTCCCTATTTTTGTGACCGTTATAGGCTAATGAGGTAAGATCTATTAAAAACAGCCTGTACAGTGTGGATTAAAGATGGAGAGGGCTGGGGCTCAATGGTAGAGCACTTACCTGCCATGCCTGAGGGTCTGAGTTCCTTTCCTAGTGCTGCCAAAAAAGGGGGAGGGAGACTTCTAAGGTGCTTGGTTAAAGGTAAGTGACCTCCAGCACTCCTATCACTTAACTCATCAAGTTGGTAAAAAGTAAATGAAAATAATGCTTATTTACTCCCACCAGAGAAAGAGAGTGGGAGGGAAAGCAGCTTGAGGAAAAAGAATTTTTTAATGTATAGTATTTGCATATAGTATTTGGCACTGTTTGGACTACAATGACCTCATTCAGGATTAGTGTCCATAGTTTAACAGGCAATGGAAAAGTGCCATGGGGTCCGGTAACATAAAATAAAGTCTGTTGAGTTGGTCTGAATTCTCCCAAAAAAGAATGCTGTCAGTCCTTACTCTGAAAAACAAGAAGCTGAAGACCCAGTGGGAAATGTTTGTTAAGCTAAATGCTTGGGAAAATTCAGGAAATTCAGCATCGGGAAAACCTTTGGAGAGCTTTTGGAATTTCCCCATGGAAGGCTGAGTAAGATTTACCAAAGCTGATTTAGGACATGAGCAGCTTGTCCTGCCGGTGGGTGAGTCCCAGGCAGGCAATTACCCTAGGCTTTAGGGGCATCTGATCCAGGTAGCCTCCTCACTGTTTGACATTTGTTTAACACGCATGGACACAGAGGTGCAAGAGAACACGTGGGAAAGAGAGTTCCTATCCTGAGTGTACATTTCAGTAAGAACTTTGTGTTACTGGAAAAAAATGAGGGTAGTCTTCAACTTTCCTTCTCTACTTTCCTTTATTGGGTAGATTTTTAAGCATTCCTTCTTAAGGCTGCGTTACATTTCCTTAGTAAAAGGAAGGAGAATAATAAATGAACAGGTTTGTTCTCAGATTCCAGCGGTACACTGCTCCCTGCCAAAAGTCAAATGAGAAATGATAGTAGCTTCATGATAACTGTGTTTTCTGGTTTGACGAGAGTCGGCGCAACCTGATCAATTTTGCATATCCTGTTTCTCAGAGATTTTGATTCTTTGGATGAGCAAAATGTGGAGAAGAATAACCAACTGGCCTTTGATATTGCCGAGAAGGAACTGGGCATTTCTCCCATCATGACAGGCAAAGACATGGCCTCGGTGGGGGAGCCTGACAAATTGTCCATGGTGATGTACCTGACTCAGTTCTACGAGATGTTCAAGGACTCACTGTCCTCCAGTGGTAAGGGCCTCTGTTTCCTGCTGTGTTGTTGACTGGCTTTTCTTTTCTTCCAACTGTGTCCTTCATCAGCACCACTAAATGGCGTACCACCAAGCTCAAGCTTACTCTGGTTTTACTGGTTGTCCATCAGAGGAAGTCTCTGGAAGCTTTCTTCATTGTTTCCCTTCTTTAGTAGTATATTCCCAATCACTCATTCTTTTCTCTATCTTTTTCACTTAACCTATAAATATGCAAAAATCATTCCTATCCAGACTTTTTTTTGCAGTGCTGGGAATGGAACCCCAGCCTCATTCACACTGGGGAAGTGCTCTACCACAGAGCTACATTCCCAGACCTCTGTCTAAACTTTCATTCCCATGACTCCTGACTTCTATCCATTCTTTCAGAACCAGCCTTTCCGATGAAGTGGGTCACACTTGTGGTCTCTGTGTGCTCACCACCAAAACTGTAACATTTCATAATCCGCCACCTTTTTGCGCTATTCTCCCAGCGCTGTTCTCCACAGAACAGCTGTTCTCTGCTGTTCTTCTGTTGAGGAGAATCAACATATCCATATTCCTCTCTGATATTTCATCAATCATGCACTTGGCTTTTCCAAATCATTTAGCATTGTGGAATGATGTCCTCTTCCTTGGAATTCTGTCCTTCTTGGCTCTGTGATCCTGTCCCTTGATAGATTTGTTCTCCTTTCTTCTACCACTGTTCTCTGGCTCTATTCTATTCCGACCTCTTAGAGTTTTCCGAAAATGTTTTATCAGCCCTCAACCTGCTGCCTCAATCTATCATAGCACCACAAAAAATATTCCAGTGGTCATTTATTAACCCCAGAAGTAAACGTAGTATAAGGCTTAAGAGGATTTTTTTTGTTTCGTTTTGTTTTGTTTTTTTGTACCAGGATCAGTCTCAGGACACCAGGCAGGCAAGGCACCACGGAGCTAAATCCCCGGCCCAGGCTTAAGAGTTTTGACCCATGGTGTCTAAATTAGATTTACATCCTAAAACTTCCACGTTGGACCTGGGGGCAACTTACTAAATTTTCCTATGCCTCAGTTCCCCTATATGTAAAATGGGATATATATATATTTTTTTTTTCATACAGTTTACATTGTGATATGTTAAGAGAGTGTTTAACAAATGGGAGCGCTTAATGGATGTTAGCAATATTATTAATAAGCTTTAAATGCTATTTTAAAAATTATTATTGCTATTAGTAACACATTGCAATCCGCAGAATTTATAGTGTCAGCCCTCAGTGCTTTCCAGCCCCTGAACACTTGTAGGCATCTGTGGTTTTCCTGATCACATAGGCAGTTCTTACCACAGAAGTTCACTGCTCTAATGTGAGTATACCTTTCAGGGAGAGCGCCCTTTGCCCGCAGCTCAGAGCCTGGCCTCAGCATCTACCAAAAGCAGACCCTAAGTTATGCACCTCTCTGCTCTCCTCTCTCCCTTTTCCTCTCTGTCCTGAAATTTTCATCACCAAGGTGAGGCTTCCACACTCTGCTGTAATGATCACAGGCAGATTACAGCTTTTGAAAAGCGAAAGTGCAGGTCTTATAACAAGTATGTTTTTTAAAAGAATTGATTTTGTGTATAAATGGAAGAGAGAAGGCTCAGTGTGCACACCCACATGTGTACTTCCTTTGTGGTATTTCCTAGAGATTTGCATGCTTTGTCATACCCAGTGAGCCTTTAGAGCTCCCTGAGGGAAAATTCCCTTCTGCAATCCCCCTGCAAGGGAGAGTGGTTCAGCTTAGGACTTTGTGGCTCTCCAGGAGTGTCCTTGACATTGCTGACTTCTGTTCACAGACACCTTGGACCTGAATGCTGAGGAGAAGGCAGTCTTGATTGCCAGCACCAAGTCCCCCATCTCCTTCCTGAGCAAACTCGGGCAGACCATCTCTCGGAAGCGTTCTCCCAAGGTTCGTCCATGCAGGGGTTGTTATTTTGGCAGCTGCAAAGCTAATGGCAAGGTGAGGTGCCTAGAATAATGCAGTTTCCCTTCTCTTCTGGTACAGGATAAGAAAGAAAAGGATTTGGATGGAGCTGGAAAGAGGAGAAAGACTAGTCAATCAGAGGAGGTGAGATTCATCTGTGATTTGTTAGAATAGTTATGCTAAATTCCCCCTTTGGTTTAAATTCTTAATTCCCAAATTGGTATTGTAGATCTTTGCATATTCATTCTTTATGAGAATATCCATGGGTAGATGCCTTTTCTGTTGGCTTTTGCCTTTGTTTAATTATTTGGAGAGCACCGAGGGAACATGCACACATGTGCTCTCAGGCCTTCTGGTCTTTTGGAATCACATTTGACAAGGCCCAGTGGCTTTCTTGGGCTGTGGCGATACCAACACAAGTCTGAGTAGCAGTACTGCCCAATGTGCCATGCTCTTGCTGGCTCTTGAGATTAGCACCTCAGAAAGCACTGGCAAACCCAAGCCACTATGCAGATTCTGGCCACACTGTTTGGAGGGAATAGCAAATGGGTGGGACCCCTCTAACACAGTCCATCTCTGGAATGCTTGCTGTTCAACAGGAAGAGGTTTCCAGGGGCTACAGAGGAGAAAGACCAACACTGGTGAGCACTCTGACGGACAGGAGGATGGATGTTACTGTTGGGAACCAAAACAAAGTGAAATACATGGCAACCCAGCTACTGGCCAAATTTGAAGAGAATGCACCTGCCCAGTCCACTGCCATAAGGAGGCAGGTAAGCCCATTTCCCACTTGCCCACCCTATTGGCCAGGCCACGCAGGAAGGAGAATCTTTTCAATGCAATGAGGCAGGCCTGTGACAGACCCATGAACTCAGGGGCTCAAGGTTGGAGTTTGGTTTTCCTTCATCTGACTGTGACAGAGAGGATTGTTTCCTAAGTTCATGGTAGACGTTCAAGGTGGCTTATCCTCAGCATTCAGGTCTAAGGCATCTGTGACAAAATGCAGCATGGAGATCTAAAATATGTGCATTTATATATCTATACATAAGTAAAATTCACATACATACTGAAACTATAGTATATCGAAAGTATAATAAAGGTAATTAAGGCACTTATATAATTCCCTTGATACCTTGCTACATTCCTTTCTGGTCTTTTATTCCATGCATTCTTGTTTTCATAATGGATATCTTTTTTTTTTTTTTTTAATGGATGCCATTCTTAACATACACTTTTGCTGTTCTGCTGTTTCCATTTGACTTCAGGCTCATTCCCATGTCGTTCTAAACTGTTTATAAACACCTTCTAAAATGTGTTGGTACCATGCTCTTCTTAACTCTTGGTCTAGCAGCTGTTTTAGTTGTTTCTCATCTTTCATGATAAGGAACAGAGGTAAACCTTCCTGGAATAAAGCTGTTTTTGTGTGCTGCAGACTATTTTCCTAGAATACTACTAGGAATGTGAACATTTTAGATACTGAATTGCACCCTGTAAGTCATGTGTGAGAGTGCCAGGCAGCAAGTGACCCCAGGTGACCTCATTAGGTCTTGTTTCTCTCTTGCTTTTGTAAAAGTCACTAAGACTTCTTACAAGAGGAGGGACTGGGACTTTGAGATTCATGCTGAAAGCTTCTAACAAAACTCCCTGATGACCTGGAAGAGCATCCAGAGGACAGAAGGCCCATTCTCTTCATTCTTTCTCTTCATCTTCATCAGCTACTGTCCCTGTGGACCAGTTGAGTGGCACCAACTCTGCTTGGAGCCTGACTGCAGTAACTTCTCACAGTGCGTCTTTAGTTATGGGTGTTTGCACTCCCATCTTTCCCCACTGTGGTTCACAGGAAAGATGGAGTGGTTGATAGGAAGCATTAGAAGTTGCCTGGAGCTCTGGCAGCTGGGGTTCCACCCACCTCAGGAAGGCTGGAGGAAGGTTGCCTGTAAGAGACATTGCTTCTCACTTGGGGGAAGAGATTGGTTTTCTGAATCAGTATTAGTAAGTTAGTCAGAGCATTGAATCTGGGAAAAGGGTAATGAGAGTCACAGCTTCTGTTTTCCTTTATTTTCTTTTTTGCACTTCCTTTTGGTATGGAGGGTGGGGTATTTTCTTTCCTTTTTTAAAGTGTAACTTTCTAAGAATTGATTCATAACCTCCACACACACATCTCAGTTCATAGCTGTATGTCTCCCCTCCATGAGTACTATTCTATATCTTCTTTTATCTTAATGTATTTTATTTTGTTTTGTCTCCATGTCCTGTCCCCACCCACACTTGGCCTGTGTGTCACAGCCAACACAAGAGCGTGGGGTCAGCCAGCCGTTCTGCCGCCTGCCTGAGCAGGGTCACCCTGCTCCCATCCCCCAGTGGAAACAGGTAAAGGAACTTCCAGGGACCAGGCTGGGCTGCTGCCCTGGGCCTGCCACCCCACCCCTGCTTTTGGGCTTGCCCGGGTCAGGCCTGCACTTGAGGATCCTGGCTCACCAGGGCAGGAGGGCTCTGTGCTCCTTCAAGTAGTGACTCTGAGAAAACACTTAGCAGTCTGATTCCATGAACTCTTGGGGATTTGAGAAACCAGTTAATGGGCAGAGTATTGATTTGGTGTTAAAACTAGCTGATGTTGTTAAGTTGTTTAGGTGCCTTAGCTGTTGAGGCTTTGCTACTGTGTGACATCTGTCTCTCATTGGCTTTTTGGTAGCATGTAACCTCATGACCATTGGAGGGAGAGCCCTGACTTCATCAGGACCGAGAGTAGAGCCTCTCAAATGAAGTAGAAAAATGTTACCTGAGAACAATGATACTGTTTCAAACAAAAGAATCGGGGGCAGGTTGGCATGTTTTCCATGTTTTCCTGGCTTTTTCCAGGGCCAGGATTTAGCTCAGTGGTTCTGCCGCCTGCCTTAAAAGCACAAGGACCCAAGTTTGATCCCCAGTACCAAAAAAAAAAAAGCTTTTTCCCAGACATGGTGTTAGATATCTGTGGGCCCAGCTATTTGGGAGGCTGAGGCAAGAGGGTTGCTTGAGCCCAGGAACTCAAGGCCAACCTGGTCTCACAAATTAATTAATCAATTGGGATTTTTCACTAAAACCTTTTCAGGATCTCCTGGAAAATTGCTTATCCCAGTAGTACAAGAAAGGCCACCTGTTTTGTAATAGGGATGGAGGTCTCAACTTTTTTCTCCCACATTATAGTTGAGCAAGTTCCTGCTCTAGGGAGCCTGAATTAGCTGTCTCATAGTTTGATCTCACTTAGGACTGGTAAGATGCTGAAAGGTCCACTGCGCTGACCCTGGACTCCGTTAATTCTTCCAGAGTTGGCCTCAGTGGCCTCTTGTGCTATAGTGTGGCCTGTTGCTGCAGAGTGGGGAGTCACGCTTTATTTAAATTGCATTCTGGGAAGAAGGTTCCTCTCTAGCCTTGTGATAAACATGCTCTATGAAAGTCATGGCCTCCAAGGCTGAGATGGAATCTAAGGAGCAAGGTCCAAACTCACAACAGAAACCAAACATCCTCTTTCTCTGTGCCTGGGGGAAGGCTTCTGAAAAAATTTCGTCAAAAATTTACTTGTATTTTTATGTTCTTGCCCATTGCCTTGAAGTCTAGGTAAAAGGTAAGACTTGAAAGGTAATCTCCCGTGGATCTATAGTTGAGGATCTGTTGAGGGGGAAAGTGAACTGTAAACCAGATGCCAGAAACTCCAGACTCATATTTTTTTTTAATGGTGGCCTGAAAAATAAATAAATAAAGGCGGCCTGAGATAGGAGCAATGTGGGAGGGAGGTCAGGAGTAATCCGTGCGGGTAGGTGGGCTGATGACGGGCGTGTGCCTGATGCAGCTTTGCTGGGCTTGCTGGAGAGTAAAGAGCGGTGAGTGTGGCTGTAGGAGCCTGGCTGAGCTGTGCCCTCTGCCTAAAGAGGACTGACCTGTCAGCTGTTTGTTTGATGGAATTGTACTGGAGGGACTTTGGAAGCTTGATCTTACAGGGCTGCTTGTGAAGTGTCTGCCTCTAGCCTTGTACAGGCTTCTGTGTGGAGACTGTTCTTCCCATCCTGTTCACCTTGTCATCCAGGTCATTTATGGACACAGTCAATGAAGTAGAATACTGGGAAGCTCTCTGGTCAACAGATTGGAACCTTTGAAGTTAACCAGTTTCTATGAAAGGAGCATCAGAGAATTAGAAAAAGCATCTGGCAAGACTGAGAAACCATGAGCAGTGAACCCCTTTCAGATTCTTGTGAGCTTTAGGTTGTATAGAGTTGGGAATTGGGAATTTATATGGATGCAAAGAGGTAGCACTGTGAAGTACTACATCTCACAATTCTTTCGTCCCTGTGAGATGTGCAGGATTCATATGCACTATTCTCTTGACACTAACTTGTGGGTCTTGGTCCTCTAAATTTATCTCCTGGAAGCTGGAGGTAGCTGTGGTGCTGGGTGCTACAAACACTCAAGGACAGAACTCCTGACTTGCCTGACAGTGGCCTCTCATCTCCCTTTAGGAGTGAGCTCACCAGCAGCACCACAGGTGGCTCACTTTGTGTTTCTTTTGAAGTGGTTCCCAGGAAGAGGGTGTGGCAGACAGAGTAGGGATGGCTCAGTTGGCATGAGGACCGGTTTCAACTTAGGTCATAGTGTAGAAGAAAGAAAATGAATTACAGCTCTGCTCACCAGTGACTTCTCTTCACCTTCCTGTATCAACACCTTGGCTCTTTCCTTCTTCACTTTTTGACCTCAGAAGTGCATCCTCCAGGCAAGCTCTGGGGGAAGCCAACCTTGATTATCACCTGAGGTGGGGGCAGCAGGGCTCATATTCCACAGTCTTTTCTCTTCCCAAGCTTTCTCATGTGGCTATCTGGGCAAAGGAAACAAAATTTCCTGGAAGGCATCAGACGTGCCTAGGGTAGTGTGTGATTGTTTCTCAAACAGCAAGAGCCTTTCTCAGTCTTAGATGGACTCCTGAAGAAGGGAATACATGGATGGCAGAAAGAGGAAGAAGCCATGGGCATACATATGGCTTTAGTGAAATATGCTTATTCTGTTTCCTATACTTTCGTGTATTTCTATGGTAGTTTTCCAGATCTTATGAATAGAGTGGCCTGAGAAGGGGGAAGCATTGGTGGGATATTGTCTCAGCTGGCTCTCAGGAGGGTGCTGTTTTGCTGCGTGCGTGCGTGCGTGCATGCGTGTGTGTGTGTGTGTGTGTGTGAGATCAGGCCATTGAAAGGTAGTCACTGTAATGGGCCATCTGCCTTTTCTGTCTACTGATAATTAAGCCCATTTCTCTGTCCTTCAGCTTGACTATTAAATCCCTTGACCTCTGGCATTTAAAAAATGCTACACCGGGCTGGGGATTTAGCTCAGTGGTTTCGCCGCCTGCTGCGCAGGTGCAAGGACCCGAGTTTGATCTCCAGTACCAAAAAATAAAATAAATAAATAAATAATGCTACACCTCGAATTTTTACCAGCCACGTAGGTTACCTGCACTGTTTGTGCCTAATGGAAAGTCCCATTCCAGTTTGTGGGCCAACAAGAGACTGACAAGCCACCCTCTGCTCAGCGATGTGCTGTTGAGGACAGAGGGGCTTGGAAGAGCCCCTGGGACACTTTAGCAGATGCCCCTCAGCCTTTCCAGAGGCACCCTTCACATGGCCACTATTTGAACAATGTTCTCTCTGTTTGTGTCTGTTGGTGTAAAAGCGACGGGAAAAGGAGCATTCTCGGACCTGTCCCAAAAAAGTGATCACACTGTCTCCTTCCCCTACTCCACCTCCCTACCAGGCGCACAGTGGCCAGCAGGTGACCTTCTCTGCATGCTCTGTGTCCTGTTTTCCTGTCTGCCTGCATAGAGATCAACTCGGTATCCTCTCTTTGCAAAGATAATTGCTAAAGCAAGACCATTGGTAGCAGAAGCAACTGTTATTGCTACAGTGAGCAATTCCTGACTGGACCCCAGGATAATGCATTATACAGTCAGACCCTGGGTGGTTTAATCAGGTCTCTATCTTGGGACTATAACTGTGCAACTACAAACTAACATGTAAAGTGTATTTATCCACAGATCTGGGGCCCAAAGCCCTGAGAGCAACACATTTTTATAAATACCCATTTAAAACAGCTATTTTTCTCTTGCTAGTCAGTGAGGTATGGGCATTTGGAAGCTTCATAGGGACTTCATGAATTTGATTCCTTCTGATTCTGAGAGCCTCGAATGTTGCTTATCCAGCTTCTCCCAACAAACACTTGCCTTTCCCCATCCACCTCACTCACTCCAGGCAGATCGTTCAAGAACTGTCATCCACAAACGTGGCTGGGAGGAAAACAAGCACACACATATAAAGTGTGTTTATAGAGTGGCTTTGTTGACCTTTGTGATATAGCCCTATAAAATAAAAGGCTAATTTTGAGGACAGGATCTGTGGAAAAACAGTCTCTTAATTAAGGTGGCCTGTGTAAAAGGTGACCACTAGTAATGTGTGAGACTTAAAGGCCCAGCTTGTTTCCGTGAGTCCAAGAACTGAGTGTGCCTTGTCTCTAAAAAAGAGTGAACAGTTATGAGCACTTACTGTGTCCACTCAGTATTCCAAGTCCCTTTCACATAGCAGCTCACTCAGTCCTCACGATAGTACTGCAAGGCCCCTGCTGCTTTTATCTCTGCTTTGCAGATGAGAAGACTGGGGCATAGGGTAGCGAGACCAAGCTACCTGTACCAGCCAACACAGGAAGTTCTGGAACCAGAACTGCATCCACGTCTTGTGACTGGAGCCCAGCCCTGGCTTCCTCCTGCTTGTAGAGACAGTATGCTTGTGGTCACTAGATAAGGGTAGCCACATAAGAAGCTTTGGATCAGTTTCTCCTCAGTATGTGGCGTGAGGTGAAAAATCCTTCATTATCCTAGTGCTGAGTGAGGTCTTCCCTGTTCCCGTGATTGCTGGGTTAGTGGTTTCTTCTGCTCAACAAGGCAGCTCTGGGCTTGTTTGATGGGTTTCCAAGCTTCTCACACATATTCCTGTCTATGCACTGAAAATGCTTTCAGTCCTTGTCCAGTTCCCCCTGTAATGAATTATGCCTTGCTTCCATGTTCCTACTCAGGGACCACTCTCTGTGACCCGAGTTTCCTCTGGGCCTTTGTAATGGTTGTTTATCCCAACCAGTTTCCCTCTCTCCATTTTCCCTTTCTAATGTCTTGCTGTGGAAATCTGCACCCTGCTAACCTGCCTCCTTCTAAACCTTCTATTGAATGCCTCTGATCTCACGCCACTGTGTGAAAGAAATATGTTTGATCCACTTCAGTACTAACTGTAGTTCTTTGTTTATCTGTTAGCTGACCTCATTGAAGGCCAGGTGGGCAAGGTGCCCTGGACCTTTCCTTCTAGGCTGTGCTGTCCTCCCACTAAAGGCATTTTCATTTTGAGCAATTTCTGGCACTGAATTTTCCACTGTTACTTAGTAGGTCGAAATAGAGCATTTGGATGGCATTTAAGTTTCTGCTTTGTTGTCAACAGACATGCAGGGATCTTGATGCTGACAGCCGTGGCAAGCAGAGTCCCCGCCATGAGAGGGTAAAGGAGCATGAACCCGTGGCATGGGATGCTGAGAGGCAAACAGATGGGGCACGCTGTGTGGTGGGGCAGAGGGAAGGGGGTGTAGAGGATGGTCCCCTCTCCCCTTGCTTTTCGCACACTTGTCACTTAGCCAAGAGCCAGAATTCTGGTTGCTAACAATGTTGGCCCATGCAGATAAATTCTCTGTAGAACATTCATCTGCCCAGGATTCAGACTAGATGCTAAGGCTAAGTGGTTATGTTGCATCAAGGGCCTTAATGATTTCCCATTTCTGTCCACCTGCCCCACCAAGACCATACTACCTCTACCCCCAAACTTGTACTAGTGGTAGAACACCATAGACTATTAGGAAGACCTTCAGTAAGCAGGTGGCATTTATTTGACAGTCATGGGCCTTGAGGTAGGAATTCTAAGAGAGCCAGCACTCTTTACCAGGGTGAGGATTTTCCAAGTAAAAAGCTGAGGACAAGATAATAAAAAGCTTTTGCTTGTCTTTTCTGAAAAATTTAAGGGGATAAATCACTGATTGCAACTGGCCATCATATAATTTATTCACTAGAAGAGATTCCCAGTTAAAGAAGCCTGCTTGTCTTATGAAATTTTTGTTGTCATCAATGCCCTTGAAGATCCCTAAATGGAGATAGCTTTGCACCTAGAGAGGATCTGTAGTTGTATTCTCATATAAGCTCCTTCTATTATTTGTAGACAGTTACACCAAACACTTAAGTCAGGTTACTTCTCAGCCCCATTAGGAAATTAATCCTAGCACTGTCTTCCTGTGCCCTCACCAGGGTATCAGCAGGTGTATGCTGCCACGGTGGGGTGCTGGGCTGGGGGAGGCGGCAGGCCAAGGTGCAGGGTGGCTGGCCTGCCCAGCTCCTCAGCATGGCCGGCTCACTTTGCTCACTCCTGTTGGGGCTCCTTTCTCCCTCAGGCATGGTGTGTGCCTGGCCCCTTCCTTCCTTCTTTCCAGGCTGTGCTGTACTCCTTGAAAAAAAAGAAAATAGGCATTTTCACTGAGCAAGGCAATGCCCTACATTTTAGGAAATACTTTTTTAATGAGGTCCTGATGATGTTTAAAAGAAGACACTTAAAAGAAGACGGGAGGAAAGTATTTTACGTAAAAGGCGAGCTGGCTAGGAGAAACAATTCAAAGTCTTGGGATACATCACTGAGGGGAAAAGATGGGATTTGGAGCTCAAGAGGCAATAAAGTGACAGGGACTTTTCTATCTTGTTCCCTAGGGGCTGCTTTCTAGAGTCCTAGGTGCAGGGCCTCGGGCTAGTTACTTTGAGGGGGGAATCCTCTACAGTTCCCTAATCTTGCATGTTACTGGGCTGCTTTCTTCTCAGCTCTGCCAGCCCCGCCATCCCAGAGAGATGCTCAGCTCTCACAATTCCTTCTGGTGGGTTGTGCTCTTCCACAGCGATCATCCCCAGGGAGCTGGCTGAGAGTCTAGGGTAGAGGCTTGTAGGTGTCAGCTACCTGCCACTCCACACTTTCACCCCCATAATGCTGTATAGTGATTGTCAGCTGGAGTAGGGGATGCAATGAATCTGCTTGGAGCCAGAAGAGCAGAGGGCTTCTCATTACTCTGACAGTTCCTTTGTCTCTACTACCCCATAAATACTTCACTCTGAACCTGGTGGGAAGCTAAGCAGTTATTATTCACCAGAGCTTGTAGTCACCTCCGTCTCCAGAGGGGGGAGTTCCCAGCTGTGTGGGCCACCACCAAGGATGACCCCACCTACATTTGCTCCCACAGGGGATGCAGGGGCTTTGAGCTTTGTCTCCTAATGATTGTTTGGGTTCAGCCAGCTTCTCAGGCACTAGCCATGGCCAGAGGAGATGCCCCAGTGCTGGACATCATGTGGAAAGAGCACACTCAATCCTAGCTTTGCTGTCTCCCTTGCTTGCTGTTTGTAAGGCTGACGGAGGCATGGGCTGGTGGCGAGACCTCTTTATGCCCAAGACAAATTGCCCCTCAGGCCAGCTAGGGGGCTTTCTGCAGAGCACAAGGAGCATGTGTGTTCACAGTGCCCGCTTCTGCCAGCACTGTCACCGTTACCCACTTGGTGGAGGGTGAGAGTACCAGTGGAGAGGACAGGGCTTTCACAGGTAGGTCACAGATCTATGACTGTGTTCCAGAGTGGGCATCAGTGTAAGCCCTGGAGAAGGTGGGCAGAAAGCAAAGGGAAGCCTTGAATTGCATGAGTCACTCATGCTTCTGGGAACTAGAAGTGTTTGCTCACCACTTAAGTTCTTCAGATAAAGTCTAGAGTAGAAGGGTCTAAATCTGCCAGACTTCTTACGTTCAGGGTGTGACTTTCAATTTAATGTTTCCTTTGATCTTTTTTCTTCACCTTGTATTTTATAGCCAGAGCCTGAACCTGCTCGTCGATTTTTTGTTGACCAGTGGGAACTTTCTCTTAGTCTCCGTTCCTCCAACCGCCCCGCCTCTCCCTCCTCAGACTCACTCCGACAGGTAGCATTGCCTGGGACTTGGTAAAGCCACGTTCCTGCTGCAGCCTCTGCTCACTCCATCCTCACACATGTCATCTGGTGGTCTTAACCTTGGCCTGTCTCTGTAGGGAGCTAATGGCATGTGTGGCTTCGTGGGGGGATAGGTAGAATTGCTGCAACAGACACCTAACTTAACCAGGCTGCTAGCTTTCATTGGATCATGTTCAGTATATCAAAGTCAGTCAGAGTATACCCACTTTTATTGTATTTTGACTGTATCCAATACTGATAAGCATTTTTTAGCCATTGGCTTTTTTTTCACATGTCCTCATAATCACATGTGCTTCAAAATATGAACCATACTGTAACCAAATGGTTTAGGTGAAGTAGTGAATATGCAGTATTCTGGGGGCCTCTTGAATTGTAATTGTGTGAGGAATGAACCCCGAACTTCCCTCAGGGGCACTGGTACAGCTACAGAGGAGTTTTTACAGAGATCAGAAGGTCTTTTCCCCCTAGTGTGCTTCCTAAGCAGTGTGTGAGCAGCAGTGTATCTATGTGTATGTTGTGTGGTGGTAAAAGTCTGGCAATTGCTACGCTTCAACTGTTTTTTAACAGTTAGACAAAAGAAACCATCTGCTTTTCCTGCCAGAAACAAACAGAACTTGAGTCTTCCCCTCTGGCAGGGTCGGGGGTTAATGCTGAGAACTGAATGTGACAAATGCCTTTGCACGCGACAGCCCAGGCTGTAACTGCCGAGGACGATGGTTTCTGATTGGGGTGCACAGTGTGAGCCTGGGACTGCACAGTATCCTCGCCTCGTGTGTGCTATCTGGTCCACACTCTCACTTGTCCGCTGCACAGTGAAAGAGTTGCAATTCTCTGCTCCCTCGGTGTCAGCTATTAAGTGGTGTGCTCCGCTCTGCCTGGTGTCACCGCAGGCCTAAGCTTCTCCACAATCCCCGATCTAAAGAAGGCTTAATATCTTAAGAGGCACTTGTTTTCCTCAGCCGCTAATGGATATAATCTGTGAGTTAATGGGCAAGTTGTATCAATCCTTGGAGATCTTATTTTTAAATTGGAAAATATATTCGATTCCTCAGTTCTAGCTAAGCCTTGAGCTTAGCCAAGTGAGAATTGTTTTCTTGGTTTTGCTTCTGGTGTTCCCAGATTTGCGTACAGTTGGCTCCCCTTCCCCCAGAGTACCTCTCTTTGTCCCCATCCAGTCTCGATATGCCCTTGCTAAGGCCAGGGGTCCTCTTACATACACGTGGCTCCCATACACATCCATCCAAACCACTTCCTAGGGGCCCGTTCCCATCTCCAAGATAACTGTTCCTCGTGTGTTTCTGGGTCAGAATTAATTGTGGCTCCCCTGTTCCACGTCATTTATGAGAGGCCCGGTACACACACATATCATGGCCAGCTCCACTGGGAAGTTGACCTAGACATGGAGTCTCTAACTGTTGTGCAGCCAGCATGCCTTTAACAGCATCCCAAGGACACGCTGCAAAGCTGGGCAGCCCTGGTGCCAGGTCTCAGTGTGAGTAGGAAGGTTCACCATGCAAACTTGGCAATTTTCTCTTGTTACTTCTTGGACATCGCCAGAAAGAGAACCGAACTGGTTGAATTTGTTTTCTTTTACCTTTTTTCAACCTGTAGAAGTAATTTCTCCTGGACTAGAAACACATTCTGACTTCCCAGGTCTAATTCGTTCACTTGTCTACATGGCTGTAGCAAGTGGTTGAGATACTCCACCCAGCCTAGAAGGGTCTGGCTTTAGAGCCTGGATGCGTCACAAGGATCTCATTGTGCTGCTCTCAAACCTCTAAATATCAGCAGGGAAAATGGGCAGAGAAGCAACTTCCAGCAGAGTTGGCCAGTGCCCCCACAGGCCCTGTGGTCAAGAGAAACAGGAACTCTAGCTGTGGTACCCAAGTACAGAGTCAGCCTATGCAACTCTGAGCTTGGTCTCTTTCTAAATGAGAGAAGAACCTGTCAGACCCTCTTCCATACCTTGAAATAGGTTATCTGGGCCTCAGCCATGCTTGGAGTTGTTCCTTTTGAACTGTCTGTAATTTGAGTCACCAAGATATAGGCCCTTCTCACCCTCTTCTGTATCCATCCTGGCTTCAACCTCCCCATAAGTCCCAGAACTGTATATTCCAAAGGATGTGAAAGACCCAGTTCTCCCCTACGGAAGACCATCTCTCTGCAGCTGTAGCTTGCTCCTGTGCTGACCCCAGGTGGACACCAGTGCAGTGTTTTGCTCACCATCCAATTTCCCTGCTTGTGGGCACTGTGTTGGCATGGTTTGCTGCTGCACTGTGTTTTCATTTTACACCGTTCAAAGACTTTTTTTTCTTATTCTTTTAATTTATTTATTTTGCCTTCTCATCTCCCTGCATTCTGGTTGTTCTGTACTCTACAACCCATAGAAGTATATAAAGATGTACACGGGCGGAGTGAGCTCATTGGCTGAGCAGATAGCCAATCAGCTGCAAAGGAAAGAGCAGCCCAAAGCCCTTCTAGACAAGAAGGAACTGGTAAGAGCTATCCCAAGGGCACTGTCGCTAGCCATGACACTGTGGTGATCAACCAGCCTCTTGCTTGTTCTAAGGAGCTTAGTAACATATGTGGCCGCTTGTGCTGCCGTGTGGTAATTTTTTTTTTTTGAGGTTGTCTGAATTGTGATAACTGAATGCTACACCCGTAGTAGATGTTTAGAATGTTACGTGGAAAAGCATTTAGTTTTACTAAAAGTGGTCACTCGAGTGCATGGAATGCATTTATATACTTAGGAATACCGAGTATATGTATTATATATGAAACCCTCCTAATAGAATTTTGTCACAGTAATTTGGCTTGATGGTTATGAAATTCTGCACACTTGGATCCTTTATCAGAAACAAATCTTGGTTGTTGTCAACACCGACTCAGACTCCACCTTGTACTGAGAGTTCTCAGGAGGGGCTTGTGTGAAACAACTTGGAGAGCACCGTTACCTTTGAGGGAGCCAAAAGCAGAGCGAGTGTAGCTGGCTAATACTGGCTTCACATAAAAGCGCCAGGGTCAGCTCCACCCACAGGGAGGTCGTGCAGCTCTGGGAGGGGAGTCCAGGAGGCCTCACGCTGACCCTTCTTTTTCCATGCCCCTCTCCCTGTCCCGAAGGGCTCCATGAAGAAGGAGTTCCCGCAGAACCTCGGGGGCAGCGACACTTGCTATTTCTGCCGGAAGCGGGTCTATGTGATGGAGAGGCTTAGTGCTGAGGGCAAGTTCTTCCACCGGAGCTGCTTCAAGTGCGAGTACTGTGCCACCACCCTGCGCCTCTCAGCATATGCCTACGACATTGAGGACGGTAAGTCCGTGTGCACACCTGCCCATGCTTGGAAGTGAACCTGGGCCGTTTTGTCCACTGGAGCAGGCTCCACGGGGCCATGGCTGCATGCCACGTGCAGGTTTTGGGGTGCCTCTGCTAAGCCCTCCTATCTGTCTCCCTCTACTCTTTGAGTCATCAGACTGCATCAAAGAATTACTTAACAATGACAGTGAGGATGGCATGTTATCTGAGTCATTTCCCTGACTGGACACTCACTTGCTTTCTTACCTCATGGGGGATCTTGAGATGAAAAGGACACTCTAAGGACAAATCCTGCTGCCTATAGAAGTGGAGTTACAGGTCCATCGAAGTCATGTTTGCTGCATCAGATTGATGACGTGAAACTGAAACTAGATCCCAGATTCTCACTTCTCAGGCTTTTGCTCTTGAAGCTGACTGAAATATGCCTGATGTTGCTACGTTCCTCGGCACCGGCATCTTACTACCCTGTACCTTAGGAATGGAGGCCAGTGCCTGGGGCCTAAATCTGATTTACTGTGGTGTTCAAGGCCTAGCCTTTTATGGCATTTGCTTTTCTTTTTTTTTTCTTTTTTTAATAGTGAAAAGACCTTGATAAGGTACAGGGCAGAGAAGTATGCAAATAAATAACAGGGCCTGAGGGAGGTGGGCTGGCCTCGTGCCATCCGAAGACCCTAAGGTTAATAGAAGTAGGTGACCTAAGGCAGTGATGACTCTCGATTCCACTCCCATAGGATGCAGAAGGAACTGCCTCCAAGGCAGTTTTACTGGTTCAAAAGAAATAGAAGAGACCTAGATTAAGAGGAGAGAAAGTAAATTTTCATGGGAGTGACATTATCCATTACATTGATAAGTGATTTTTTTTTTAATGAGAAGATTGCAAGGTGATGTCACTTAAGAGGGAGACCCCCATGCATTTAGGGCAGTCATTACAGTCTTCCAGGCCTAGCTAGTAGTGAAGAAACAAACAGCTGTGTCAGAAGGAGCCAGAAAGGAGCCTAGAATGGTGAACTGAGAAAGGCTGATTCTTATCATCATTGTACATGGTCCTCTTATTAGTAAAAAATACTACTTAGTGGGGAAAGAATAAGACAGTTTAGTCAGGAAGATAAATTGTTAGGTATCAAATTTATTGTTGGGCGCTAAGTACGTGGTTCAGTGGTAAAGCCCTTGCCTAGCGTGCATGAGGCCTTGGGTTCAGTCTTCAACACTGTAAAAACAAATTTTCTGTTCTTCTTTCCTACACTCCTGCTCTCTGGGTAACATCTTTGACTCCAAGGATGAGGGTCACAGATGGACCTCACCCAATCTCCTGTAACTGACCTCAATGCTTAGGTTATTTTAGCCTTTTACCTTGGGATCTGCCTAGGGAAAAAATTCCCTCAGACCCAGCCAATTGGTCCATAGGTAGTTTTTCCCATGGATATGTGCTCACCTTTGCTACATTCTCCTGGGGATATAGATAAAGTATCATTGTGCCTCTGGGAGCTTACAGCTGTGTTAGCCTTCTATTGCTGTAACAAAATATCTGAGAAAATTAACTCATAAAAAGAAAAAGTTGCTGGGCATGGTAGCACACACATGTACTCCCACCCTGAGCAACTTAGTGAGTTGGTAAGACCCTGTCTCAAAATAAGATGTAGTAAGAGGGCCCTGGGTTCAATCCCTAGTACCACCAAGAGGAAAAAAGGTTTATTTGGACTCACAGTTTTGGAGGTTTCAGTTCATGATTAGTTTATCCTGTTGTTTTGGGCAGTGCATCATAGCAGGAGTCTGTGATGGAGAAAACTGGCTTACCTCATTGCCTCAAAGCCAGAAAGGAAAAGAAGGGACTGAGGCCTCACAATCCCTTTCAAGGGGACCCCAGTGACCCAAAGACCTCCCGCGAGGCCCCTCTCCTTAAAGCCTCACCACTGCCCAGTAGCACTGCCCTAAGAACCAAGCCTGTATTTAACACATGGGCCTTTGGGGGCGTTCCAGATCTACATTGCAAAGTTCCGATGAGAATGATGAGGCCAGTGCACATGAAGCAAAGCAGTGTAGGAATGTGTGATTAGTGCCAAGTCCCAAACCTTCATAGACATTCAGAGGAGGAAACTGATAATGTTCAAGAGCAGCTTGGAATGCTGGGCATGATGGCGCATGCCTGTAATCCCAGTGCTTGGGAGCCTGAGGTAGGAAGATCACTGTGAGTTCAAGGCCAGTCTGAGTTATATGGTGAGACCCTGTCTCAGAATAACAATACAAAACAAAAAGAGGAGCAGTTTGGAAAGACTTAACTGACCTTAGGCAAGTCTGAAGAGGAGTGGGAACTGGATAGCAGAGGAAGGAGATAGCTTTCTAGGCAAGAGGATATCAGGCACCTGAAGGCAGTGGCCATAAGGCTGGCATGGAATGAGGCAGCCTACCATGTGTGTTATTCTAGACATGGGAGCAGGGCTAACAGCAGGCCTACACCAGCTCCCCAAATTGCTCGGAGTTTTTATCAACTTAGCCCTTCAGCGAAATCCCCTCATATGTTAAGAGGCACGTGGACTCTGGAAAAGAATGGGATTTTAGGGGCACTAAAATTTTACTCTGTTGTTCAACCAAATTACTGAAGCCTCAGAAATCTAAATGAGGGCCAGGGATGTAGCTCAATGGTGCCGTGCCTGCCTAGCAACCGCAAGATCTTGAGTTTGATCTCTGGTACCAGAAAAAAAAAAAGAAAAAAGAAATCTAAATGAGGTGCTTCAAATAAAAGAAAACAGCAGAGGAATTTTTGGAGCTCAGGAGAAAAGAAATATGACAGGTGTTGAACTGGGCTCTTGAACACATAGCGCATCATTTTGTACTCCCAACAACTCCATGAGATAAAAATTTTTATTATTGTAATTTTGCAAATTAGAAACCAAGTGTAGAGAATTTCTCAGTTGCTTGTCCAAGTTTACACAGCTAGTAAGTGCTGGTTTGTGTTCAGTGACCTCTGAGATGCATTCCAGGTGAGAGGTTCCAGGTTTGTATTCAGTGACCTCCGGAGTGATTCCAAGCCCTTTGTCAGCTCCACAGTGATAAACTGAGACCCTGTGCTTCTGCAGTGGGTGTGTGATTTGCCCTTGTCACTGGCCAGTCTTCCTGTCTGCTCTTTCTAAGGGTGCAGTCTTTGCCAGAACCAAGCTGCTCTTCCCTCGCTGAGCGGCACCTCAGTTTTCATTGCTACTGACCCTTCAGAGTTAGACAGTGTCATGTTTTTCCCTATGGTCTTGAGAAAACAGACTCCCTGCTGGAGGGGTGTATAACTCCACAGGAGTGACAAGCTGTCGATGTGGTGCCACCTGGGCCAGCAACTATATCTTCTGCCTGGACCACTGAGCTCCCTGCCTCCACCACTAACCCTGTAGTCCGTTTCCACAGAGCAACGTGAGGGATCTTACAAATGTGTCAGTCAGATGCCACCAATGCCCTACTTCCTACCTCACTGCCCATAGCAGCACCAGTGGGATTCACAGCCTTGTCCTGGGGAGAATTTCGAATGGCTGCCCAAGCTCTCTGCTGTCATGTGCCCTCCGCTCGCTGTCCCCTTTCACACTGGTCTCTGTTCTACTCCATGAACATGACGGAGACACTGCTGCCTTGGGACTTTGCTCTAGGAGCCTGTCTCTGTCTCCTCTCTGCCGCACACTCTCCTGTCTTTTCCTGGCCTTCCCACCTGCACAGGGACCCTCCTCAGGGCCTTCCCAGACCTCTGGCCAGTGCCTTTTTAGATCCCCGCATGACAGTTACGATTATCGGATGTTTAGTCACTCTGCTTATTCACAACGGCAACTGCTACCTCCAGAGAATGTCCCTTGTCCTGACGAGGGCTCTCTGCAGTTGGAGTATCCCTGCCACCTAATGGCACTCGGTGAGGCTGAGTGAATGGATGAAAGGCCCAGTTTGCCTTGTTTGCCTGACAGACATCTGTTTTCTCCAATTCCCATTTGCAGTCACTCCCCTATTTAATGATCAGGATTGCTTAATTTAGACCATCTCCAATTGGTCAGATAACTAAATCACCCAAAGTTGTGGTTAATTTTTAATATTAAGCCTGGCTGCCTTTACTGATTGAGAGGCTAAATGTACAGGATCTGGAGCCAGCTTCAGAGGTTCAGATCCTGTCTACGAGACTTACTGACTATGGGACACTTCAGGCAGGTTCCCCAACCTTTCTGTGCCTCGCTGGAAAGAGGCAGATAATAATCATAGCACTTCACTGGGTTGTGTGAGGATTAAATGAGTTGCTAGATGCAAAACAGTTGCAATAGTGTTTGGCTCAAGGTAAATATTAGATAAAAATTAGATCATTTATTCATCTAAAAAAGGAAAAGCGACATTAAGTTGAGTTTGGGAAAGAGTGTGAGAGGATGCGTTGATGGGGCACCTACAACTCATGTAAGATATTATGTATCCCAGCCTATGAGATGGGTATTGTTTTATTTTCTGTAATCACAGCTGCTGGTGCCTAGCCTTTGAACTGAGCTCTACTTTCAGTGCTTGAGCTCCTCACATCATGCTGTGCTGCCTTCCTACAAAAAATGGTTTTCTTAGGAATTGCCTTTGCTTAGGCTTATGGGACTTCAGAAGTTAAGTTCTGAAACTTTTTTTTTTTTGGTACAGGGAATCGAACTCAGGGCCTCATGCTTGCCAGCCAGGTGCTGTGCCACTGAGCTACATCCCCGGCCCTAGGTTCTGAAACTTAACCCTCTTGTTATTAGTCATTTAGGATCCCAGAGCAGGGTTCAGTGAAGATGCACTTGAGTTCAGTTGAGGTCTAGCTTACGATCTAGGTTTCTGCTGTAATAGAAAAAATAAAATGCAGGAAAAAATAGGAAGAAATTAAATGAATGACTAGTTCTCACATACTGTAATAAAGAAGATGCTTGGTTACAAGTAATAGAAACCCACATTAGATTAAAATTTAAGCCTTAGATCTGTGTCTTCCTCGCAGATAGCAGTCACAAGGAGGGCTGCCCTTTCCCTTCGCTGTCCACAGCAGCCCCCCGAATGGCTCTAGTTGGCCAGATTTAGTTATGTGCCAGTTCCTAGAGCATGTATCCCAGGGTGGGGTTTCTGATTGACAGCCTGGTAGTAGATAATTAATGTCAGGCATGGGTTGTCAGGACCACATTGAGGAATGAGGGTTATTTCTTCAAGTATGAGACAAAACGGACCCTAAATGAAGTGTATCATCCAAGTACTAATAATACATTTGACCTTGACCTCTTTATTGGTGGCCAAAATTCATAAGAACAAAGTGGCTCATTACAGATTTTAAAGGAAATTGAGGGTGGCCCAAAAAATAAGGGGTCCACGGCTCACCTTCCCTTGTAGAGAAGCAGGTGGCAAGACAGTGAGATGACAGTCCCTTGACTGTCAGGTATTCTCAACGACAGCAGCAATGTTTCCGAGTCCTGGTTAAATGCAAGCAGCTGGTGAAAATTCTGTTTGGGAAAACATACAACATGGTATGAATATTATTTGAAATCTATAAAATTCCAGAAAAGGTTTATTCAACATTGATGGGAAAGAGCAGGTAAAAGAGAAAAACAAGTCAGCTACTTTGAAGAAAAGATAGGATCAGATCGCTCGGGGAAAGGGGAGAGGGCAGAATGCCAGCTGCCCTTTATTTTAACTTGTGCATCCTCTGATTTTAACTTTGAGATCAGGAACGCTTATTTGTTGAAGGAACATTGCCTACAAATGAGAGGATGGAATGGGATGATTCCTGTTCCAGCGCTTTCTGCAGTGGGGCCTATCATTTAATGTTAGAAGCTTGACCTCTTTTAAGTTGAGTAAAGAGTCAGGAAAACATCTCTGAATTAATCCAGATGCTAGAGACAGTGGAAGAGCCAAGCCTTTTTGACCACGGAAATGTATTTCATTAGGACACAGAATTATTATTTAACTTTATGCCATAGTGCACTCTGGTTTGTACTCTGCGTTAATCTGTTCCACTCTACTTGTAGTCCACTGCAGGATCTTTTGTTTTGTCTTGTTTTCTAATGCTGGGCCTGACCTTTGAAGGGTTGTAACCTGCTGTGGGCCCCACACTGGCTGGTGGAGAAGGCAGGAGTCTTGGTGCAGCAGCAGAAGTGGACCTGGCAGAGTTAATGCTCAGTGCTGCCCCAGCCCCTGTAGCCTTCACGCCCTCACCCTGCACTTGTATTCATTCTTGCTTTCCCCAGCATTGCTACTCCCAGCTTTCATGTGACCACATCTTTGTTCTTCACACACTGCCACTTTGTTTGCTGGCCCTGCCATGCACGCCTCACATCTTTGCCCTGGGCACTGATTGGGTAATGGCTCAATGGCCTTCATATACCCAAAGTAAAGGATACTTCCCCACCCCCTACTTTATGGGAGAGGAGGCCTGGAATCAAAGTTTAGAGGGAGAGACTGGCCTGCTCGGACAGGAAAGCAGGGCTTGGCAAAGGCTGGCGTGGTAGTGATGGCCTCCTGTGGCTGGAGGAGGTAAATAGGAGTGTGCCGAGACCAGCGAGTCAAGTTCAGAATTACAGAGCCTTGCTCATCCTTCCCCCTCTCTTGCTGTCTGTAGGTAAATTCTACTGTAAACCACACTACTGTTACCGACTCTCTGGCTACGCACAAAGGAAGAGGCCAACAGTGGCTCCTCTGCCTGGAAAGGTATGGCCGTCCTTCATGTAAATGGGAGAGAAGCAGGGGGTGCCACATTGGTGTGGTTGCAGGTCAGGGCTGGCCCAGCAGCGTACAGCCCTCCCTGAGCCTGAGGTATGGTATCGGTTAGTCTGGGGAGGGAACCAGCTTTTCAAGCACAGACTTAGGCTGTTCGTCCCTGAGGTAACAGCCTTTCTACCACCTGAGCTGGATTGGGGGGATTATGCTGATTCTCCATTCTGCTCACTTTGTATGGAAGGTGTTGCCTCTGTAAACAAGCCTTGTTCTCAGAGGATAGCCTGCTGCTGAGGAAAATGCCCTGGTCCTTTTTCACAGGGTTAGAGCTCTCCTTAACAGTGGCCATGTAGGAGAAGAGCCACCCGAAGCAGGAGTCCTTTTGTTTCTATAGCCCCACCGTTAGGCAACCACAGGCAGGTGGGAGCCACAGCCAGTTCTGCTGTCTGCTGAGAAGGAGCTGACCGTACTGTACCCTCCCTGCCAGCTCTCAGTTCCCTCATCCTACAAGTTACTTGTCGGGGACCTTTCTTACTTTTTTTTTTTTTTTCAATGAGAATGACTTCTCCAGTCCTCTTTGTCAGGGTGACCGAAGTAATCCCTTCACTGCAAGGACAGCGCCTTTTCAGCATTCAGGCTGATCACTGCTCCTCTAAGAGGCTTCTTGGACAACAGGGGGGCTGTGGGAAAGGTATATCGTCAGCCCCCTATGTGCCGGGTTCCATGGCTGTGGATCTCACCAGCCAATATGTATAATGTCCAGAGATGATTTAAAGTATATCTATATACTTTAAATGTGCATAGGTTCTTTGCAAATGCAGTGCTATTTTTATATAAAGGACTTGAGGGTCAGGGATGTAGCTCAGCAGTACACCACCCACCTAGCAAGTTTGGGGCCCTGAGTTCAATTCCTGATACAAAAAAGGACTTGAGCATCCACAGATTGTGCTCCATGGGGTCCTGGAACCAATCCCACAGATACTGAGGGCCAACTGTATACTTGGGTGATCTAGACTTTGACTCCTAGTCACTACCATATGATGTGTGTCCCTGTTTCTTTAAAGAAAGACTGACTGTATGGGGAATACAGCCCTAGGGGACAGAGACAGACTAGCCAGTTGGATTGAGGGCTCGGTCAGTCACTGTTCTTTTTCTGTGGACTTTCCTAGGAAGCCAAAGGACTCCTGCAGGATGGCCCCACTGCAGACACAAATGGACGGGCCAGCACCATTGCCAGCTCAGCCGAGAGAACTTCAGGTAGCCTCACTTCCTTGTTTGGATGGGTGGTGCGTCACTCTCTCGGCCTCTGTGACAAGGCCAAGGGGATGAGCCAGCACCTTCAAAGCAACATTTCGTCAATTGGGCATCAAGTGGTTCAGAACCCTTTGGACTCCTTTTTCATGTGCCAGCTGCTTGCGTTCGGGGTCCCTTTTCTCTATGGCCTGTCGGAGGTGCTGGTGCAGATTGGAGGGGAGTTTCACTGGCAGGCTGTGAGCCAGTGAGGGGGCCTTCTGGTAAGCGGGTCACCTGAGTGCAGATAATATGGATCAGGGTGTGGTCACTGGAACCGCGGCCCACCTCCCTCAGACACATAGGTGCTTGGTGCAGATCCTGTAGTTAAACAGGAACCCAGAGAAAGCTTTTGTGGTCACTGACCCCGATGAGAGTCCAGAGTGCCAGGCCTCCGAATGGCTCCTGTTTAGGATTTCTGTGGCAGAGCACAAGAGTTGTAGTCAGTGAGGGCCTGTGGTCTGAATGTGTGTTCAGCAGAACTTGAAGTTTTTGTATCCCATTCCCTAGTTAGGTGTGTGGATAAGCTAAACGATATGCTCTGTCCTGACCTCTTTGAGGCATTTGAGTTTCCAGGGAGGGTCAAACTCTGTCCCAATGTTATTCCCACTTCTGTGCCACCATTCTGTCTCCAAAACACAGGGCAGGCCTGGCTGGGATGGTGCAGGATCATGAAGCCTCTAGAGGAGAACAGTGGGGTTTTTTTTTCCTTTAAATTGCCCCTCTTGGCTGTTTGTAAACTAGTCTGCAAAGTGAGTCCACAGTTGTGCAAACCCCTGGGGCCTGAGTACACCCCCAGGTTATCCACAGCTCAGGGTTGCTATTGTAGCTGAGAGGAAGTTGGCAAGGCCATGTTTCTGTTTGTCACATGTTTCCTCTTGTTCATAGCAAGTAGGGCCAGGGATTTAGCTCAGTGGTTCTGGCACCTGCCTTGCAAGCGCAAGGTCCCAAGTTCGATCCCTGGTACCAAAAAAAAAGCAAGTATACCTCAAACAGCCATTTGTAAACACATGTAAAAATTATCAGCCAGTGCCAGAAACCATGGGGTAAAGGTTGGTAGTAGAATTTCCATCATGGAAAAAGGAAGAATTATTCCTTTGGGCTTCAAATGAATGGTCCCCAGAATCAGCCCCAGTGGCAGAGCTCCGGAGCCCGAGACCTGGCCAGGCAGGTTGAGCTCAGCTTCTGCTCCTGTATGTGTGTCCTGGTTACACACTGAGGACGTTCATTGAGTATCCTGAAGATGAGGCCCACATTTGACAGCCATGCTTAAGCCATGAGTGACTGGCACCGTCTGCGGGCCCTTTGTGGTCTTTCTCAGGAGGTGCTGACCACCCTCTGTAGTCGATATTCTCACAACACGGTTGGGGGGCATCACTGTCAGAGAAAATTGCAGGGATCTAGCTAGACACAACTTTGGCTTTTCCCTGTGGAGCGTGTATTTGATCGGGTGAGAGACTAACCTATTGGTCCAGGCCTCGCTCCAGCACAGATGGGTTTCCCAAGGAATATGACTATGTAGTAAAATGACACAAAGAAATGAAACATTTTCCTTTGAGTAAGAGGTACAGAACATAGTTTAAAAAGAGATAAATGCAGTGAAATTCAGTTCTTTTTTGAACAAACTGGGTTTGCTTGCTTTCCTCTCAGGCTCAGATTGCCTTTCTGACTGTCTGATCGAAGGCTCGTAATGGATTTCAGGTTTTTAGGAGTTCTAAAGGATTTAGGGTTCCATAGAGAAGGAGAAGAATGTTCTACAAAGCAGAGAGAAGATGAGAGTTGGCAGTGTGACTACAAAATCAAAACAAGAAGAGCCAGCACCCTGAGGACACTTCAGTCCCTGTGGTTCTTGATTCTGAGCTAGAACCCGACTAGCCTATTATAGTTCCACCCAGTCATGATGTGGTGTCCCAAAGGGACCCCAGGCTGAGCCCGTAAGGTGAGCCAGGCAGGCCTTTTCCCCCAGTGCGAGGTGAGCTCAGGGATGACAGGATTCCTTGTCTGCTCTGAGGACACCAGGTTTTGGAAGTGCCAGCTCAGCCCCGGCCCCTTCTCTGGGAACTAAATGTGCTAGCCTCTGTAGAAAAGGAACAGGGTGTGGTGGTCTTTAGTTGCCATGACATAGATTTCTTTTCTCCTTTGATAGAGATTTTTTTTAAAATCCCAGACCAAAGCTTTGGTTACTTAACTAGCAGAAAAGCTCAAGTGGTTGAGGGCTCCAGACTGTATCACAGGGAGCTAATGTATCCCATTAGCCCAGACCTCTGGGGTGTCTCCTCCGCTGCACACTAGACCAGAAAGGCTGGGGGTGAATGAAACTGCCTGTGTGACTGAACTGTTCTCCCCAGAACCAAGTCGCTGAGCCAGGACTGGTAACCAGTGGTGTCTGAACCTGCCTGCTCTTGCTCTGTGCCTCCTCTTACGGCATTTCTGTTTTCCCTGTGTCCTTTTCCCTTATACCAAAATGCCTGCTGCTGCTCACCCCCCAGATAACCCCCCCAAACCAAAACCAGTATAACCCACAGAAAGTTAAGAGAACCCACTGTAGACCTGGTTTAAAGTGTTGTCTTTTTCTGATAATCTCATCTGTAACTGCTGCCTAATCTAGCCGACCTGGGACATTGTTTACAGTATTTGTGTTTGTAATGTCCTTTAAATAGAGAAATCAGTCCTTTCTGTTCTCAAACCTGTAAATACTTTGTCTCAAGTTTCTTATACTCACTCCTGTGGGTCAGTGGACCTGGCACAGATTCCCTTACCCTGGCCTCATAGTACCTGCCCTGACTTGAGGAAGAGTGGACAGCAGCAGGCAGAGAAAGAAAAACCCAAGTGGGATTCCTTTCCCTGTGGACACGAGGCCCTCACTTGCACGTGTTGGGGATTCTTTTTTTTGTCTAGAGGAATTCCCTGTTTTATCTCCTGTTGTAGACAACAAAAACTGAAGTGGAGGGTCCAGGGGGCAACATAGAAAAGGAACAGAGCTTTTCTCAGGGTTTCGTCATCCATGAACATTTGACCATCTGCAGACTGGTGCAGGGCATATGAATCATCTGTCATCTTATAAGAAAGATGGTCTAAGTCAAAAGGCTGCCAAGTTACAAGTGGCAGTTGCCTGGTCTCTGTCCCCAGACACCCCTTGCACATAATAAGCATTGGCTTCCATAGTTTGGAGCTTGAACAGGCCATTAGGAAACCCAGGCATTGCCCACACCAGCTAGAAGTCAGCCAAGCGGTACAGGAACTTCCTTCAGCCCTGGGGTTCTTGCCTAACAGAGGGAACTTAGGAAATCTTATTGCCTCCCAAGTCCTTTTCCTTCTTAGGCATTTCTGGAAAACCAAGCATAGAGAATTCTGCAATCTGCCTGCCTCCCCAGCCCTACCACACAGTCATAGTTGAGTCGATGGTAATGTGTAAATGTTATGTATATGTATATAGGGTTCATGTCACAGATAAAGATATTTATTTATATATTATATCCTAAGTATATTATATCCTAAGTTAGAATGATAAAGCTGTTTCTAAAATTTCATGTTCCGTCCTTTTGGAAACGGAGAAAGCTTTGACACTGGGAATTTTGCCTTTGGGCTGGCTCAGGGATTTGAGGGACCACAGCAGCCCAAGAACAGCACGCATGAGAAGGTGGAGACTTTTGGGGAGTGGATATCTCAGAGCAGTACAGTCCCACGAGGTCCAGTAATTGATTCAAGAGCAAACTGGGAAGGCAGGAGTTTGTTGCCGGCAGGGTCCACAGAGAGCCAGATGCCCACCTTCCCTCAGGTTTGTTCTCGGGCTTGTATGCTGCCCCTGCCGGGTTACTTCCTGCAGCTGTCTGCTGTCATTTGGTGTTTGCTGTCTTTGGTCGCATTTTATGGACATTACATTCTTAGGCCTTCCCAGAAGGGTCTCCCACCATGCCCTACAAGGTCTGGCCATGAATTAAGGGGTTCACTCCCCCCCATGCCCCAGCCATTCACTTGGGGTGGGGGCAGGCAAGCAGAGTCCCATGGAACAGTACAAAGAAGCCAGAGCAAGGGAGGATTAGCTGTGCCAAGAAACGTGTCCCCTGTCCACTCTGACCTTCCCCTAACACCTTTATTTTTGCCCTTGTTTTTAACCTGTGCTGTTGTGAGTTTTTGGTGTGTTTCTTTGTGAGTTTTTATTTAATTGTGTAACTTTGTTTTTGCTGTTACTGTGAAACCAAGGTGCTGTGCTTTTAAATTTTTCTTTTGAGAAATGTTACATTCTTATTTAAGAGAATAAATTCCGAACAATCTTCAGGTTTCTGAGTTTTTCTTTTCCTTCCCTTTTTCCTGATGAGGGTGGGGAAGGGGGAAGTGCAGGCAGACCTTGAGCATGGGCTGAAAAGCTGCAGTGCCTCAGGACTCTGGCTTCTGCCATGGGGTCGATGAGAGAGCAGAGATGGCCATGGGGACCGAGTTGTCTGTACCTAATGGGTGCATTCTCACCAATGGAAGGGCCTCTCTGCTTAGGGCCTTGGCATGGTGCAAAATGTTCTGCTTTGCAGCAGATGCAAGTAGACAAGAGTGAGAAAGATGTCAACTGTGCCTGTCTGTCCCCTGTTCAGTCAGTCAGCCCAAAGGACTGTGGCAAGGTGGGTGGAGGGATAGAACTTCCACATAGCCTGCACCTGCTGCGGGGACATAGAGCCAGGTGACCTCCTCCATTTCTGGCTGCAGCAGGCCCCTGAGGGGAATTGGGAACAGTCAGGTGCCCTGCACCCCACCCCCTGTTTCAGGCCACTGGTGGGGTCCCTCTCGCACGATGACCACACTGCTTTTCCTCCCCGCTTGAGTCTCCCTTGCTGTCTTTGCCGGGAGTGGGCACTGAGTTAGAATAACTAGTTCTGTTCGGCTTCTCCCAAGCCTACAGGGATAACCCTATCCAGTAAGTCCCGGACTTATGAACATTCGAGTTGCGAATTTTCTCAGGTGTACTGTATAAGAGT